GACAACTCCACCCCTTCTTATTAACCCCACCACCTCCATTTGCTCTTCCCAGAATTCCATGTGCCCCTTCTCTTCTCCATTCCCCTTGGACTGCACAAAGACACATTAGGCTCTGTGCTCGTCACCCTTTGTTTGGAGTTTTCCAATAGGAGCAAGTGCGGTGGGGAGAGTGCTCTATCTGACTATCTGGGCTTGGATACAACACCCATTTGCCCAATTGAGAAAACCCAGAAAGGAAACCTAATAATTTTTTACATTTGTTTTCAGAGAGTTGAACAATGGGATTGATTTGCGTGTGTGGCAGTAGCCTCATTTCCAAGTTGGTTTTTTCCGGGTTCTTTTAATAAGAGATCTAGGGGGTTGAGTTTGGTTCATTACCTGTCGAGGAGGCTGACGAAGGCTTTCACATTAAATTTGAAGAAAAGGTACCAATTCAGAAACTTTTCTGTATATGGAGCATCTCTTTATATGGTTATTGCTTGTTACATTTATACTCTTCTCTTCTGTATTTGCTCGCTGAGCGAAGAAATGAGAAAATATTATGAAATGGTTTTCTGAATTTTTTTCTGTTGTTGTTATGCCATAGATATCTCAATCGCAACCTGTTTTGACTTTCGCGGGTAATGTAGAACTTGACTGAACTAAGCCTCGTGGTGGTTGTATATTAGGCTTAATGGTTTTCTGCAGTTATTGGTTTACTTGTATATTAGGTTGTATATTAGTCTTTATCACTTGTATATATTGGCTAATTTGAAATGATGTACGAAATGCATTAGTTGGTTATGCTGCAAGTCTGTTTTCACAGTATGAAAGTGGGTGGAGCTGAAAAGAAAACATCTTTGTATATTTTTCCTGCTCTTCCTTTGGTTGAAGTATGTTTCCCTGATCACCCTGGTGTTCTGCTCTCTCTATCGAGATTGCGTATAGGGGTTGAGTCTGTTTCCTTGATCACTTCGGTTTTCATCTCTCTCTCTCTCTCTCTCTCTCTCTCTCTCTCTCTAATATATTCGTTTCTGTACAGCACTATCTTATCTTCTACTATTTTCTTTGATTTTATTATGCTTCCCCTTTGCGGATGTGCATTTTTAAATTTTTAAAGAAAAAATTGATGGCCATTCTTATTTTGAAGTCAGCCTTCTGTTATTTGAGTTTCAACGTGAACTTTGAAAGAGGTGAACCGGTGGTGACATAAGCAGTTAAATTCTGGAACGAAATGCTATATATGCAAAAAGTTTGCGTTTTTGCATTCATGGAATTGAAAATTTCTTATTTCTTTTGCTTTGAACTCTGCAGGTGACTTTTTATCGCCAAAATATGGCATCTGGTCTTGATACTGCATTAGCCAAGAAGACGTTTGTTTTCGGCTTAAGAGTTTGGGTCTTAACAGGGATCATTGTGGGGGTTTTTATAGTGATGATTCTTGCGGTGTTATCAGTTTGCCTTACTTCACGAAAGAGATCCAGAAAGTCTAATGACGTGCTTCCTCTTAGCCAAATTCCAAATGTTTCAAAGGAAATCAAAGAGATTAGGGTTGATCAAGTTTCATCAAATAACTATGTACCCCGTAACAGTTCTTTCCTCACCCTTAGTGATAAATTCAATGACAGAGAGTCAGAGAAAGTTTTGATCCATAAGAATGGAGATAGTAGCAGTCGATCAGGCTCATTTAACAATACAGAAAAAGAAAATGTCGGTTCTCAATCAGGAGACGAGGGTGGTGCAGGAACAGCTTATTTCAGGCCCTCTTCACATCCTATCACTGCCCCTTCACCTCTTTCTGGTCTACCTGAATTCTCTCGCCTTGGTTGGGGTCACTGGTTTACATTAAGGGACCTTGAATTTGCAACAAATCGGTTTTCGAAGGAAAATGTCATTGGCGAGGGGGGATATGGAGTTGTTTATCAGGGTAATCTGATTAATGGAACTCCTGTGGCTGTGAAGAAGCTACTCAACAACCTGTAAGATGCATTTTGTATTATTGTTTCAGTAGCTCCATGGGTTTCTATTTTCCATATTTTCTCTTTTCATTATGGTTCTATGGTTTGTGCTTATAATATATTCATCTCATAGAGGACAAGCAGAAAAGGAATTTAGAGTGGAAGTTGAGGCTATTGGGCATGTAAGACATAAAAACTTGGTTCGACTTTTGGGATACTGCATAGAAGGCACCCACAGGTATCATACCCTTTCATTTACTCATTTATTTTATGAGCACCTTGTTTATAATAAAGGAAAGAGTAACACTGTCACATCCT